CCTAAACCCTAACTGAGGGGTATTGGGCTCTCTGGGGACCCGTTCGGAAACTTCCAGGCCATCGGAAAGTTGCGGAACGACCTGGACGGTGCGATTGGCGTCATGCACGGACACCCAGTTAAAGGAAACTACAGTTGGGGAGTTTAGGGAATATAGAGCTTTGGGTTTAGGGTTTAGGGTTTAGGTGGGGAGTTTAGGGTATATAGGGCTTCTATATGGCTTCCATAAGGTACATAGACCTTCTATAAGGCTCCTATAACGGACACTACCCACCTGAAAATGTCCTAGACCCAGAGGCTTTTCATGTCCGCGCCCAGCAGCACATGCAGGCGAACGCACGCTCCAAGTACGGAGTTCATCACAGCCTGCCTCTGGCGACTTTTTAGGCATGCAGCGGTACCGGTGTATGCACGAACTCTGATCTTATCACTCCCGGATGACCGTGCCGGCGAATCTACCTCATGCGAAACTGTCCTCAGAACCTGCGGGGGTCCTTTTTATATGGGTGCCGTACTATATCGGGGACCCAAAAAGGGACCCTAATTTAGACAACCATCTAGAATCCGGATAGGACCCTTAAAGAAGCTTTTATAGAAACCCCTATAGATCCATTTTAAGGAACCCAAAAGGGGGACCCTAATTTAGATAACTACCCCTGTAGCTTGAAGAGAGAAACTCGGCCATCCTCCAAAGGTGCTGTTTTACTCCTCCCCTCCACCCGTAACCCTAAACCCAAAGCCCTAAACCCTAAACCCCTAAACACTTAAACCTTAAATCCTAAACCCTAAACCCCTGAACACTTAAACCGCGAATCCTAAACCCTAAACCCCTAAACCCCTAAACCCTAAACCCTAGACCCCTAAACCCCTAAACCCCCAACCCTAAACCCCAACGCGCGGCCAAACTCCTGAAACCAATACAGCCTTGAAGTCCGAATACCCAAACTCCCGGGTCCCGAGTCTAGTAGGGTTTAGGGTTTAGAGTTTAGGGTTTAGGGTTGGAAAGCTTAGCTTGTGAAATGTGTATTAGTGTCGTATAATTTAATATGGTAGAAATTGGTATAGTTAATAGTAGACCCTATGGTCATAGGAGCCCTGTTTCGGAACCCTTATGGAATCCGAATCCTCAAGCCTAAACCCTGTACCCTAGCATGCCTTAACCCGTTACACCTAAACCAAGGCGGGACAACATGCGAAGTATGGCCGAGCGTGGCTGGTCCAAACCAGGTAGCTATATGGCGACTTTCGAACTACGATTGGTGTTTTCGAGTTGGTGCTTCTGCAGAAGGGATAGGAGGTTCAGGTTTCAGGATGTTTCCAGTTTACCTGTAGATGCCTGTATGGGTTCCGAAACAAGGCAGGGCTTTGCAGGACTTTGAGGGTTGGGGTTTTGGGTTTGCCTGTGCCCCCAACAACCCATTATTCTTTTCGGGATGATTGTAGCCCCTAAACCCTAAACCCTAAACCCCGATTTGATCGGGTTCTGGGCTAAACCCCAAGCCCTAAACCCAAAACTTTTAAACGGGCCCCCCGACCTCCAAACCCCGCCCTAAGCCCTAAGTTAAGCAACATTGACATGTAGGGGTTAGGGTTTAGGGTTTAGGGTTTAGGGTTTAGGGTGGTAAAGCATAATAAGGTATACCACACGATTGACAGGCTCGTCTACTTTCTGCCGCTGCTTCTTCTCTGCTTCGTCGCCGTCTGCGTTTTTGACTATTTTTTGCTTGATTGTTCCAGTCAGAACTACTTTACATCAACTTCACTGATCTGTTGGTTTTTGTTTTAATCCTTTTTGCTTCCGCGACCCTAAATCCTAAACCCTAAACCCTCACCGCGTTGCATCTGCCCCGTCCACGTGCACTCCAACCTTCTGCTCCCGACTTGCAGCCGCTGCCAAGTTTTGTCTTGCTTTTGCAGTGTGAGTGGTGTAGAGTCGTGTAGTATAGTAAAGTATAGAGTATAGTTGTAGAGTAGTGTAGAATAGGAAAGTATAGAGTATAGTATGGCATAGTACAGCCATTGCCTTAAGTTTCGAAGCTTCCCCCATTGCGTGCTGGGCACCCTGGCGCTATATCCTGTGCTTAGGCTTTTTGGGCTTAGGGACCTATCTTCCCGAACCCAAGTACGTCAACAACAGGCAGAGTATACATATATATATATATATGTAGATATATATATATATATATATATCTACATATATATATATATATTTATATATATATATATATAGGGTTTAGGGTTTAGGGTTTAGGC